ATATAATTGGGAGGGTAGTCAACGATGTACCTTTTGTGATCAACCATCAAACACTTCTTTCTTGATTGTCAGCTGGCCAAGCTTTTATGGCATTCAGTTCATATAGCCTTTAATATCACCCCTTCAAATAGTATTCACACGTTATTTGGTACGTGGCTAAATGGAGTAGAGACATATTTAGATAGAAGTATTTGCACTACTTTGGGTTATATGGAACTGTAGAAATGATATTGTTTTGAACAGACAAACCCGCATAATTTTTTTACAGGTTATCTTCATGGCCACTGCTTGGATCCATGCGTGTATTGATTCTTTTGGAAGCTAGGGAGCCTTTGGTTACTGGGTCTACCCATGGGAGATGGTATTTTGGGATATCTAGAACCGGTTTGGGTAGCGGTCCAGTAATAGGATAGGAGGTTAGTCATCTCGTCGTATTTTCGCCGATTGTGGCAGATTTTACTTTGTTTTTTATATTATTTCAGCTCTATTTGAGCTTGTTCTGAATCACGGATTTTTCAGATACTTTGCTTAATAAAGGGGCCGCATGCGTCATTCTGATGCAAAGGCCGGGGGTAATCCTCTTTAAAAAAGGTTATCTACATATGTATCGGGACTCTTCGTTTATGTCCTTGTCTACAACATGTGGAGAATAGAGACTTGTTTACAGAGGTGTGTAAACGATTGAAGACTATGGCAAGGGATACTTTTACCCAATATGGGTGACAGCATGGTCTTAGGATTGGCCCCCCTCTAGTTTAGGCGTTATACAGACTCTACATGTTTCTTCGTATTTCGCCTCCTTTTTATTTTTGATTTTGTGAGAGGACTTTGTTTGGTTGTGTGCATCTTAGTAATATAGAGTCCGGGTGTAATGCATAAACTTTTTAATTAATAAAACGCCCCTTATCGAAAAAATATTTGAAGCACTTAATATGGCTAGTATACAATACATTATTTTTCGTGTAATTTTAAGTTTGAAGTTTTAACAAAATCGAGGGTTGACATGAACTTGCTAGTGCTGCACGGTATATGTTTTTTTAGAGCCGAGGCTCAAGACAAAACCCTTCTTTGAAACATAGCCATCAATCGACTAGAATTACAACTAACCACAACTTATAAACCAAAGAAAACCAAGGATGCAACCCAAAACGACTGATTAAAACTGCTGAAGGAAAGCTAACAGGCAACGAACAAAGAAGCAAAAGCTACAACATCGATTGCCCTGTCCACCATCGTAATCGTACTAGAGGGAGGGGCAAAGTCTCGAGTAAAAGTTATGGCACAATGAAAATATCCCACCCTTGTTGTCTCCTAGTTGGCGAGACCACATCACAATGCCATTCGCCACCACCGCCGAAGAATGCCCCTGCTTTCTTGCGCTGGATCAAAGGGTGCCGCATTGTCGGCAAGGTAGAGCTGCTCACCCGAGAGCAAGCACGGACACAGATTGGCTGCCAAGGACACACAACAATGAGCACGACCACCTCACCAAACAAAAGCTCGCGGACAAACATCGTCGCCCACAACACGAATCACGCAGAAGACTCAAGCAACCATCGTCGGCCAAATCAGGAGGACCCCGATCCGCCGCACGCTCCGCCAAATGGACCTCTTAGAGACTCGGGGAAAGGGTCGCCACGTCGCGGCTGGGGTTAACTGCCGCCCCCACCAAGGAATATCCTGAATGCTACTAGTGACCCATGTAGTTTCGATGGTTAGATTTGTTGTGGTGGAACCAACCATCGGTGTTCAAATTCTAGGCCTGGCGCTGGTTCTTGTATTTTTTTGAATTTATTCCGGACGTTTTGATGATGTCCATTTAGTGAAACGAGAGGTTTCCATCGACTACGAGGCACCTGACTTTGTCAATCACAAGATATTGTACCGGCTCAGTATCTCAAAGATGTATGTGTGCTTTCATATAATGATTGTATGTGCATGTATGTGAGCATTTGCCTTTTTTGAAAAGGGTTTATATTAATATCAAAAAGAGACCTATTACACCCAATATTTGCACCACCAAGATGCCTAAAAATATCTGGAATGCACACAGCCAAAAAAGAAAAAAAAACTGCCCGATCAATTACCCTTAGTAGCAGCATTCTAACCACCATCAAAGACAGCACCCGGGCAAGAAGTAAGGTTTTCCAAAAGCAACTCCTCTAGAAAGAAAACAATGTACAAGCATTGTCGTTGCCCGATCAAAAATCGTAGGTTTTCACCCTAAAGAAATACCGCGTTCCCAAAACAACGCCTTCAATAAGGTCACTGTCAGGGACAACCAATAAAGACCAGACCTTGGGTTTTCACCCTGAAAATCACGCCTCGTTACTCAAACGAGTATCACCAACAAAGAAGTCCTCCAATGTTGTCACCCCATCTTGCGGAGGCTACTACTGCAAGTCATGTGAGCATTTGCGGATGTATAGTGTTAAAAAAAACTATCATACTAGGTACACATGTATACATGACTGTTTACTTTTCAAAAGAGTCAATTACACCACTGGTGCCACAACTTGGCGTGAAAAGTCTTTAGTGCTAAAACTTGCAGCATACATTGAACTGGTGCCACAACTTGGCTTTCGCGCGCATATATGGTGCAAATTACGTTTCTATATGAAGAGGGTGTTGATTAGGCGCGCCAATGTGGCCTGAGGCCCAGCGAGGCAAACATGACGTGTGGCCTGCTATTTTGCACAAAAAAGACCTCGGAATTTTTTCCTCACCAAAAAGCTCTTGCCACGGCCGTAAGGTTCCACTTGTGAGCGTCTCAAAAATAATTGAAAAAATGGCACCGGCAAGGATTCAAACCGCTGTCCTGTAGCTCATAGCTGCGCGCGCCTTTACTGCCTAAGCGAGAACAAATTCATGTAAGAGCATCTTTAATAGGTGCATAAAAATTTCGCACCCAATAAAAGTTATAGCGCATCACTATAGCATTTTTAATGCGCCCGGACTAACATTGCTTTAGCAGACGTCCAAAAACGTGCGTCCAAAAAAGCCCGCAATGCAAATTGTGAAGCGCGCAATCCAGAGCCCAAAATATACTACACGCGATAGCGTTTTTCAGCGCGTGCCCAAAACTTTGTAGCGCGCACAGTATTTTACAGCATCTGTTAGAGCTATTCGGCGCCCAAAAAACGAATTTTTAGCGCCCGGAGCTCTTTTTGGGCGCGTGTTGGAGATGCTCTAACAACTGGATGCTGCCCCTATATATTCTTTGAATATCATGCAGGCTACAGTCCCTACAACACATTTTACACTGTTCTTTTACGAATTTATAGGATATATGTAAATTATAATCATGGGTTATAAATAATATACATATTCATAAATAAAATTATAAAATAATCATGTGTTAATTTAACATTATCCAAATAATAATCAATTCATAGAAAAAATGTTCATGTAATAATTTGCATAGTGAATAAAAACATATATTCAACAAATGCTTATATAAGTTTAATTTTGGTTACAGTTTTAAAGAAATATTAATTTAATATACAAATGTGTTAATGCTTTCAGAAAGTGTTTATTTTTTATACTCCCTCCGTTCAAAAATATAGTGTACCCGCGCTATCCGAGGTTTGGCTTTGACCATAAATTGAACTAACAAGACCGACTGTGATGGGAGCAAAAATTATACTAATGAATTCGTATTTGAAAGAAGTTTTCAATTTTAATTTTTTTTCTCCCGCCGCAGTTTGGCTCGTTGGTCCAATTTACGGTCAAACTTGAAGCACCGGAACCGAGGACGCACTATATTTTGGAATGGAGGAAGTATATTTTAGTGATATAAGTTTAAAAATGTTCACAGTTTAAAAGAAATCATGTAAGTATATAAAAGTATTCATGCTTTAAGAAAGTTTTTAGTTTTCTATATATTTTCATAAATTCTTATATAAAATTTAAATATTCACAGTTTTAACAAACTATTCATGCAGTATATGGAAGTGTTCATGCTTTAAAAAATATATATCCGTATAGTGTAAATTTTTTTACACGTATATATAGTATAAAAATAGTTGGCTGGGATTCGAAGCGGCAATATCTGGGCATCAGGTGTGAGTGGCCACCGCACCACCCAGCCGTGTTACTTTTTGTAGGAATTTATAAAATATATGTAAATTATTTTTATGTGATAAATAATAATAATAATATAGAATAATATTATGTTATAAAAATATTTATGTAATATATAAAAGTGTTCATTGTTACTTTGAAATTATTTTATTTATAGCACATGGTTACAAGATTCATGTATTTATAAAGTTTTCTTAAATAACAGTGCAAAATGGGCTGGTGTGACTCCATTCCTCTTAAGATAGAAAGTTTATATATGTTACGTATCAATTTTATCATAAGGAACGTTGACGATTTTACTGGTGTGGCATTTGCTCCTGCAAGTCACGGGATCGAATCCCAATTTTTGCAAAATGCTGTGCGTTGCTGACAGATGGACCCCGCACAGCTCCATCTGTGAGAAAAATAAAAAAGAATTCTGAGTTTTTTATTTTTGCAAGATAAGCAGGCACACCTCCTTCACGTCACGCTGTCCCTGATAGTGGGCCCATGCCACGTTGGCGTGCTTAATCAGCACTGTGTTCGTATAGAAACGTGATTTGCATCGTATATGCACGTGAAAGCAAGTTGTGCCACCAGTTCAATGTATGCCTTGTGACACCATTGGTGTAATTGACTCTTTTTTTTTAAAAAAAAGCCACGTGACACGCAAAGACTTCGATTCCTAGTAGACTAGTATCTCTAGTCACGATCAGTCTAAACAGTGTGCTCTCGCGCATTCTATCCTTCGATCCTAAGCCTGAAACCCAACGGTTCTCACCTTGTCCTGTTATGTGGTTTGGGGTAGACTGATAAATAGGATTTTAAGTTGAGGAGAACTCTGCAGACGAGAGAAACGCAAGGAGGCTGCCACAAGTTCGAAATTCCTAAAAGGGTAGCTTCAACATCGAAGAAACCAGGTGACTCCTTTCAATTTCATGGCGATCCTCATATCTTGTGTTACTTCCAAAGCCTTGGCTCTACACACATCAGAGGATTTTCGGCAACAGCGGAGCACTGGTATATCTGTATCATCTGTTCGCCGGCCAATCCATATCGGCTTAACCACGAAGCCTCGGGGTATCAGCCTGCCGATAAGAAGAGCAACCCAGTATGTGGATACCGATGTTCTCTCCCTCTCTAATCTTCTTGTTCTTGGATGCATGAACATATCATTTTCCCATCCTCTCCTCTCTAACCATCTCGTTCTTGTCACGCATGAACTAGCATATAGCATTTGCCCATCTTATTAACTTGTAGTACATCGATGATAGCATGCGTGATTGAGAAGTATCAACAAACTTCATGCTAATCTACAGTACAAGGTTGTTAAGATCACATATTTACATGTTTTTTTAAGAATCCCAGCGGTCGGTGGAGACCCCGGAGAACTGCTAGTGCTAGGAGCCAATCTCCCAACACCCGACTTTTCTTCATGGTAAGTGCAGACAAGTCGCACCTTTGCCCGTGTTTCATCAATTTCCTTTTCTCGCGTTCACAAGCTGTGAGCTTCTCAGGGTCACGTGGCTTGTTGGTGCCTTCTTCCTTGCAGCGCCTGCTTACTGGCGATTCAGAGCACTGGAAGGTAAACCCAAATCAGATAATATTCCTACTTGTAACAAGTTAATCTTAGCGCCCGTATTTTGTTTCAACTTCTCTCCTTGTGCATAAATCACACACGATAGATAAGGCGGAGCAAACAGCAGAGGCGACAATCGAGATGGTCGAGAAGGTGGCGGAGGCGGCGGAGAGAATCGCCGACGACGTCTCTGAAGCGTTTCCCGGTAATGAAAGACTCAAGAAGGCAGCATCCAGTGTCAAAGCCGTGGCAGATGAGATCGAAAAGGATGTGGACAAAGCCGAGGCACTACTCCATAAGGTTAGGCCAAGTCAACTGCCAACTAGTAGTAATTTGTTACTTGCACGTTTGTCCTTCCGTTATTCCGTGGTACCTCCGCGCTCAAATTATGGCAGTTAATGGTGTCACTGTACTGGCTTAACTAGCTCATGGTACACGTTGCCTGTTGTTCATTGCTTTATGCAAGAATGGCAGGCCAAGCATGTCAGTATCATAGAGCTAGAGATAGGCATGTTAGGGCATCTCCAACGCCGACCCCAAATCGAACATCGTATATGTCCACGGACCAATAAAGATCTGTCCGCAGACACTGATGTAGGAGCCGGTCACCCAAAACTTGCCACAAACACCCACCTCTTTTTTTAAAGTCTGCAAGCTCAAAATAACCGCCGCATACCAAATCGTAGTTTATCTATAAATGCTCAAATACGTAGTTTATCTATAAATGCTCAAATACGGCAGTACTTCTAATTTAAATATTACAATCCAACAAAATTTTCAAATTAAAGTAGTTTAAACTTGAATTCAATTAGCACATATGTATTAGTTGTCCCCTTTAACTGCCTACCCATGTCCAATCAAATATTCCTTCGGATGCTCATGAATTACTCGATGTCGAATTTATTGATGCATTTAAACAAACTCATCAAACGTGTCTGGATTCTGCTATGAAAGTTCGATAGGATCACCCATATTATCAAATTCAAGAGTTGCGTCAGCTCCTTCATGATCATGCCGTGCATGATCACACAACATGTCATCATCTCCCACAAGGTCTCTGGATCCAATTATTTAGCAGGTTCATGAACACTGGCAAAACGAGTCTGGAGAACTCCAAATGCTCTCTCAACATCCTTTCTAGTTGCTTCTTGTCTTTGGGCAAAGTGAGACCTTTTTGACCAAGTGGGTCATTGATAGTCTTAACAAAGATAGCCCACGAAGGATAGATACCATCAACCAGATAGTAGTTCATGTTGTATTCATGTCAAATGACAGTATAGTTACAAGGAGAAGCTTTTCCTTCAGTCAGCCTAGCAAACAATGGATATGGTTGCAGCACATTGATGTCATTGTCAGACCCGGGCATGCCAAAGAAAGCGTGCCAAATTTAGAGACCATGTGATGCACCTGCTTCAAAACTGATGGTGGGCTTCTTAACATGGCCCTAATATTGCCCTTCTACAGCTTTTGGGTAGTTCTTCCATCTCCAATGCATGCAGTCAAGAGATCCGAGCAAACCTAGTCACCTTCTTGCTTCGGACATTGCCAAGAGCCTCTCGGTGTCTGCAACAGTTGTTTCTCTCAAGTAATGAGGTCCAAACACTGAGATCACGGTAGTAGCAAACCTGACCATGGCATTTCTACATGTGCTCTTATACATCAGTAGGTATTTGTCCCATGAACCAAAGGCCGTGCCATATGCAAGCATTCGCAATGCGGTCGTGCACTTCTGGTAACCAGAGAATCCAATCCTTCTTATAACATCCTTCTTCAAGATGAAGTAGTCATCAAAGGACCGAACACCATGGTAGAGACGGTCAAAGACATTTATTCGCATCCAAAAGCACCAGCAATTTTTTGTGTGAATAGGGCATCGGGGGAAAAGTAGTCATCCATCAGTGTCAAATGGCCACGTTCCCTATTTCGATTGAGCACTCAATGACTTTCAATCGATCCCTTGAAATTGAGAACATGCTCTTCTGCATGCTCCGCGTCTGCAAGGACCGCCTACATCATTGTCGTCTCATCCATGTAGTCCTCCACGTCGGACGAATTGTCGAGCAATTCAGTGTATTGCTCGTATATGTACTCCATATCTGAATCCATTGCCCCCAAAGAAGAAGGGGCATTTCACCAAACACTTGTCGGGCGTGGTGACTACCGTAGGGACGGCTGGTACCTACGCCATAGACGAATGAAAGGTGAGCACTGGTGGCGGAGGACAAGCAACATGGAGTCCGGTGTAGCGGTGGATGTCACGGAGGTCCGAGAAGGGTTTGGCGGGCGACCAGGGTGGTGGAGTAGCGGCAGTGGCGAGAGAGAAAATTGATGCAGAGAAAGAGGGAAGGATGGAGATGCGGGTCCAAGAGGGGTTTTGGGTGGGACTTTGGGTGGCCCAGGGGTGTCGGAGTTCTGCGTTGCTGCTATCCGAACACCTGCAAAGCCCCCTAGTTTGCTCCCGATTTGCGGGAAAAAGAACGTCTGGATCAGTCGACAGACGGATGCAGGGCCGTATTGGATGGCAAAAGATGTCTAGACTGCGTGGCCCAGATAGATGTGAGTGGTTTGAGGGTCCGCTTTGGAGGTGCCCTTAAACCGTATCGCTACTTGTGTAGGACACAAACAATGTAAAAAAAATGAACCCTTGCAATACCAGTGACGAGTGATGACTAGACCGATGTTTCATCCTTTCTACAACCCAAATACCTTTCCCAACATTGCATGGTCTACGGGCCACCATCGACCGACCTACTCCGCCATAGACACTACCGCCATCACTGCCACAATCGATGTCGTCGTCACAATCTACATCGTCCTTGATTCTCCATTGTTGTCTTTAGAAGGAGACTATCTCCTTGACAAGTGTGCCCCATATGTCATGTTGAGAATTGAGGGTGGTTTTATTGGGAGCTACAAAATCATCCCACCTAAAACCCCACATTTTCTTTGCGAGAATGCTAGGGTCATATATTAAAATTGTCCAATCCTTACAAGGCCATCCTTATAAAAATAGAAAATAACATATTGGTCCTTGGATATATCGATGTCGCTTTCCTCCTGCACTCGGTAATGGCGTGTCGTGAGCAAGGCTTGATGACCCTCTAGATCTATGAAACACCTTCAGATATAGGGTAACACTTGATGCAATGACTAGTAATTAAGTCGCCAGTCGGAGCTCGAAGAAGACGATGACACCGAACTAAGGATAAAATCATCGTTCCAGAGAAGAAAGCGGCAAGGAGGGTTGGACAACTATACATGACCTATCCAGACAGAACTTGGGAGGCATAACCTTGAAGACCACCTAGAAAAAGATAAACGGAAAGAGGGGCCCCAATCTGGCGCAGACCAAAGCACAACACACCCTCTGTTGGTGTCCTAGATTAGGGGGTGCTTGCCACGTCAGCCTGCCAATTATGGGTCGGGCCGATGACGCACCGAAGACTGATGAACGGGCCATGCTAGCCCTGGTCCACGGCGTAATCAAGATGAAGATCTCCTGGAGGCTTGTCGTACACTTCAAGCATATTTAGATGATCGTCATGCTTATCCCTAGATTGTAACTGACCATGTGTAAACCCTAGGTAACCCTGTCATCTATATAAGCCATGGGTTTAGTCTATAGAGGCACACTTACGCAATTTTAGAGATTAGAACATCTTCATACAATCTCGAGGTAGATCATCCTATACTTTGTACTCCATCACAATCAATATATAAGAAGTGGGGCTTAGGGTTTTACCTCATCAAGAGGGCCTAAACCTGGGTAAAACATTACCATGTAGCTCAGATCACAAACTTGGGACCCCCTACCCAAGATCTGCCGGTTTTAGAAGAGACACCCTCAACGGATGCCAATCGGCATCGTCGGAACGATTTCAAGATGGACATAACCTATTTCATGCCGCTAATGACGACATTGCCTCGCCACCACCGACAAGACACATAGAATGAACCCTAGCCAGGGCTAGAGCGACCCAGACTCCAAGATCAACGAGATCGGGGTTCCGCCACCTCGACGATGATGTAAGTCACCTAGAGACGATGATGGCTACATGGGACACCCTAGCTGCATATTTTTTATGAGGGGGATGAAAGAGTTCCCCAAGAAAATATCGGTAGAGCTCCACTAAGCACTTATTGGTGAACGGATGGAGATGTTCTAAGTGCTAACCTCTACCAAACACACGTCGCACCACACCTTAAGCCCCTCCACAACAACCCCACCCCAAACCCCCACCCAAAGCTCACCTAACCCCTCTATTTCACTCACTCTTTGACCCTCCTATCGCACTTCTCTCTATTATATCTCTGACTTAGATGCCCTACTTCTCTCCATCACCTCTTTAACCCTGTCGGCTTCTTTCCCTCAACTTTCTTCCATCTCAGCCGCAAACATTGTCCCCCTCATCTTATATTTTGTATGTAATCACCTTCCTCCTCACATGTCCAAACCGCCACCCTCATACATGTAGTAGTGGAGTAGAGCCCCATCGAAGATAAATCTATCTATGGCATGGGATCTTCTCGGGGGATCTTCCCTATCAAATAAGAGCATCTCTAGCCCTTCCCCTATAATCCTTTAATCCCCTAAAAATATTAGGGAAGTAACTGATGTCTGCTAGACTACGTCGATATTTTCCCAAAGAGGACGGATGATGCAGCACAGCGACGGTAGGTATTTCCCTCAGTGATGAGACCAAGGTTATCGAACCAGTAGGAGAACCAAGCAACACTACGTAAACAACACCTGCACACAAATAAAAAATACTCGCAACCTGACGTGTTAAAGGGGTTGTCAATCCCTTTCGGGTAATGATGCCAGAAATTGGCAAACGGACGTGAGAGAGTTGTAATAATTTGATAGGTTGAACGCCAAATAAAATAAAGTGCAGCAAGGTATTTTGTATTTTTGGTTTCATTAGTGGCTTCTCTTGAGAAAAATAGCAGACGGTGGGTGAACAAATTACTGTTGGGCAATTGATAGAACTTCAAATAATCATGATGATATCCAGGCAATGATCATTATATAGGCATCACGTCCAATATTAGTAGACCGACTCCTGCCTGCATCTGCTACTATTACTCCACACATCGACCACTATCCAACATGCATCTAGTGTATTAAGTTCATGGAGAAATGGAGTAATGCAATAAGAACGATGACATGATGTAGACAAGATCTATTTATGTAGAAATAGACCCCATCTTGTTATCCTTAATAGCAATGATACATACGTGTCGGTCCCCCTTCTGTCACTGGAATCAAGCACCGTAAGATCGAACCCATCACAAAGCAC